TATATATATATATATATATATATATATATTTATATATATATATATATATATATATATATATATATATATATATATATATATATATATATATATATATATATATATATATATATATATATATATATATATATATATATATATATATATATATATATATATATATATATATATATATATATATATATATATATATATATATATATATATATATATATATATATATATATATATATATATATATATATATATATATATATATATATATATATATATATATATATATATATATATATATATATATATATATATATATATATATATATATATATATATATATATATATATATATATATATATATATATATATATATATATATATATATATATATATATATATATATATATATATATATATATATATATATATATATATATATATATATATATATATATATATATATATATATATATATATATATATATATATATATATATATATATATATATATATATATATATATATATATGTGTGTGTGTGTGTGTGTATAATTACAAGTAAATAGTTAAATTAAAATACAAAAAAGTAAAAAAAAAGTTACACATTTGAATATTTTTATTATTATAATTATTACTATTATTATTAACTCAATTATTTTTAACCAGAAAACATTTTTGAAAATAAATTGCAGTCAAATAATTTAAAACCAACTTATGACAAAAATAAAGTTTATATATTAAACTAAATATTATTAGAAATTATCTACAAGTAAATAAGAACTCAATAACCAATATAATACTATTACTATTAATGATCTGTCCATGCCTATTGAGTCCTTTAACAAATGTCCCATTCATATTATTCCCATGAAAAAAGCATGCATCTCAACACACACACACACACGCACTCGCACTCGCACACGCACATGCACGCACACACACACACACGCACATGCACGCACACACACACACACACACACACACACACACACACACACACACACACACACACACACACACACACACACACACACACACACACACACACACACACACACACACACACACACACACACACACACACCCCTATATGCCCATTACAGCCCAAACAGAAGTGCCTTTAATGCACATATTCTCTCGTCTTCTGTCTCCAGGGAAACTTACATCTACTTTGGAGAGCGATTGGCCCCATTTAACGGACAGGTCATAAACGAGCAACCAAACCCGGAGCCTGACCTCCACAAACACAAGACGACGGAGAGCAGAAACACCAGCTCTAAAGTAAGATAGGGCTCCATGATACTGGTAACAACTCAAATTGTGATACTTTGATATATTTCTGCGATATATAAAATGTACATAAGTCTGAAATATTTTCCAACATAAAACGTAATGCAAATGAAGTAGATTGTTAAATAAGTTAATAATCAACTAAAGGGTCATTAAATATGTTTAGAAATGGTTAAATAAATGAGCAATTAAACTGCGGTCACACTTGACTTTTCTCCCCTAAGACTTCCATTCATACGCACGCGAATGCGTCAGACCAGAAATGCGTTAAGTTTCGCAGTTCACTGCGGTGCAAAGGTAAAGCTTGGTGAACTCTGACCTGCGAAATCGTATCACTTGACTGCGTGAGACCAATCGAGGATCAAAACAGGATCTCTCTAGACAGAAATTTAAAACATGGAGCAATTACTTTGTTTAATCCCGCCCCTTTACGCAGCGCGTTCGACAGAATTTCACACAAACAAACTCTAGTGTGACCGCAGCTTAAGTAAACATAACACTGCCGCACCCCCATGCGATCGTATCATGTATCGGCAATCTAACAGGAGGACAATTTGGCGATCTGAAAATTTTGCCCAACACGAATAGACAGTGCTTTGTTGCTTTATAAAAAGTCAAACAGTATTGCGCTACAGCATTAAATAATCAGATGTAAAATAACACTGCACTACCTGACAAAAATCTTGTCGTCATTCCCAGTTGTAAGAGCAACAAATAACAACTTGACTTCAAGTTGATCATTTTGAGAAGTTGCAGAAGGCAGATTTTTCTAATGAATCATCTGTTGAAATGCATCCCAATCATCACTAATACTGCAGAAGACCTATTGGACCAAAGATTCTCATAGAAATCAGTCTAGTTTAGTGAAGGAAAAATTATGGTTTGGGGTAACATTCAGTATGGGGGTGTTTAAGAGATCTGCAGAGTGGATGTCACATCAACAGCAAGAGGTATCAAGACCTCAAGGTTGCTGGAGTCCCAACTGGGCCAGTTGGCATTTCTGTGTGGAGTTTGAATGTTCTCCCCGTGTTGGCGTGTTGGAACTCCGACTTCCCTCACAGTCAACAGACATGCGCGATAGGTGAATTGAATAAGCTAAATTACCAGTACTGGGTTGCGGCTGGAAAGGCATCCGCTGTGTAAAACATATGCTGGAATAGTTGGCGGTTCATTCAGCTGTGGTGACCCCTGATAAATAAGGGACTAAGCCGAAGGAAAATTAATAAATAAAGCTACAAATTTGATCATTTCTTATGGTCAAATGGTTTATATTATAATCCTCAACCTTGCAGATACTGCGATGTAACTATTGCAGATTCGCACATCGATGCTGAAACCATATACTGTGCAGCTCTAAAGTGAGACACTTGAAAATCCTAAAAATCAGCCAAAACATTCCTCTGATCTGTTCCCAGGCCAGTTCTATGGGCTGTTGGAAGGATGAATGTCTATTCTGAGCATTTTGGAAATGTCAGATGAGCAAAATATCCCAAATAACTCCTACAAACTGATGGCGGGCGGACTTTGCTATGCTAAAATAATCAAGAAGACATTTCTAACAACAATCCATCTATTGTTCTCATCTGATTTAAGAAAAAAAACTGACTGCAGAATGAGCGTGCTGTTTGGTTGAGACTGGTTTCAATTATTGCCGGAATACTTAAACTAATCAGTAAAGTTCAGAAATGTCAGGAAGAAGCGGATTTGGAAAAATGAAGGAGCTTTTGAGAAGTCAGGCAGTCTGGGAGATTTTTTTGTATTATTTTATGGAAAAATTTTGTATTAGGCTTTTGCTTCTTTGGTATACAAAAGATTGAGCATAGATCTGATGGACAAATGTATGAATCGTATATGGAGGAAATCTATATGAAATTATGTTTAAACAATACAGCTTTATTTTTATAGCGCTTTTACAGTGTAGCAGCTTCACATAGAAGATTATACTGAAGTGAAACGCTGTCAGTTCAGTTTTCAGAGTTTAAGTTCAGTTTAGTTAAGTTTAGTTCAGTTCAGTGTGGTTTAATATTCACTGCTGAGTGTCCAAACACTGAAGAGCAAATCCTTTGATGCACAATTCAACAAGTCCCAAACCAAGTAGGCCAGTGGCGACAATAATAATAATAATAATAATAATAATAATAATAATATTATAATAATAATAATAATAATAATGATTCATAATAATAACCCATAAAATGTAAAAACAAAGATGTACATTAAATTATAATTAAAAAAAAATCTGAATAATTTTCATTTTAATTTTATATCAAAATATGTTTATTAATTAGTTCAATAATAATAATAATAATAATAATAATAATAATAATAATAATAATAATAATAATAATAATAATATTATTAAATATAATAATAATAAAAATAATAACAATAATATCTACATAAAAACTTAAGATGAAATAATTAAAATTAAATATATGAAAAATATATAAAAATAAATGAAAAATATAACAATGTTTTATAAAAAATAAATAATATTAATAAGTATAATATAAAAAATTACTATTTATTTTAAATAATTTAAACATCAAGTTTTGAAATTGTGAATTTAATAATAATAATAATAACCAATAAAATTTTAAAACAAATATGTACATTAAATGATAATAAATTAATTTAAAATCAGATTAGTGTTTATTTAAATTTTTTGTATCAAAATATGTTAATTAATTTATTAATAATGATAATGATAATAATAATATTAATAATAATAACAACAACAACAACAACAACAACATTAACAATAACTATAAGAAATTCTAGATAAAATATTTGAAATTACACACACACACATTATATATATATATATATATATATATATATATATATATATATATATATATAGAGAGAGAGAGAGAGAGAGAGAGTATTAGTGCGAGATTGAGAGCGAGTGAGAGTG